GATAGTGGAGAACATCGGCGCAGTTCTAAGACATGCCACTATGGTCTCTATCAATCTGCAGGCCTCACTCTGGGTTTTTTATGTTAGATTTTGTAAAAAACCTTTAAAAAAAATCCTATTTCTGCACCCTGCTATAATGCTTTCAATGTTTACATGACATACTTTAATGTTTCAATTACACACTTTGACTAGTCTTACATGTGAAATGTGATATACGTATTCCTGAGCTTTCTATGAATTTAATATATGCAGTACATCGCCAAAACGTAAATTTATGTAAGCAATATTTAAAAAAAAAGGATTGAAATGCTCCTCACTTTCACAAATCCGTTTCACAATGACCAGCAACAGAATCAGATATTCGTTGTTATTGTCTTTTTGTAAAGAGGAACAACATATTCAAATTATCTAGCCAATTTAAATAAATATGGTTGGTATGGTTGGTGCAAAATGCAGCTGCTCTCCTTTTCACTGGAATACGTAAGAGGGAGCACAGAACTCCCATCCAGGCCTGCCTGCCTGTGCATTTTTGAGTTCATTTTAAGATTTTTTATTTCTTCTTAGGTCTTTAAATGGATTGGCTCCTCCCTAACTCTCTGAGTTTCTCCACCCCTATGTTCCCACTTGGTTCCTCAGGTCATCTGACCTGCAGCTCTGGGGGTACTGAGGGCCAAACAGAAACTCAGAGGGGACGCAGCTTTTCCAGTTGCTACTCCAAAACTGCGGAATGAGCTCCTCCTAATTAGACAATCCTCTTCAATTTAAAACGCATCTTAAAAACTATTTTTATTCTTTGGAGTTTAACACAGCATGAGACTCTCTCTGTTTTTGTGTTCTATTGTTTTGTTTTTTGTTTTTTTTTTTGTTTTAATTAATTTATGTAATTATATTTGTTCTGTTCCTTTAAACTTCTATGTTGTTTTTTTATAAAATTTTAAATTTACCTGATATTTACAGCACTTGTGGCAACTGTGGTTGTTTTAAATGGCTTTATAAATAAAACACCTAGGGGAGTTGAGTTAATTTAAGGAATGCACCACTCATTTCATATAAGCAAAATAAATCATGAACCTGCATCAATTAACTAACAAAACAAATTAGTTTAGAGTTGGCAGAAAGAAAGAAAAAAGGAATAGGGGAATTTCAATGCATTCTCTGTGTTTGCTTTTAATGAGATGGTTGGTATTGTCGACTTTAGGAGAATGGGCCAAGAGATATGTAGAGGCACAGTTATTATTTCATTATATCACTGTTGGTCACTGGCAACCTAGCTCATTCTTTTCTCTATTTGTTTTAAATAAGATTACTCTTCTTGTACTGGTATTACATCAGAGTAAGAGACAACTGAGAGATAATTGTTTGGGTTCATTGTTTGGGGGGAAGCAGGTTGCTTTTAAAACATTAGAAATCCACAAGTAGTCCACTTTCAGGTTTTATTTACTTTCCTTGAGCTACTTGCTGTTTTTTTTTTATTAAAAGAATCTCACTAAGTTTTCAGCGTTGAATTTTTTAATGATTTATTACATATGGAGCAGGTGATCGGTCTCTTTCAGCACCCTGGACAGCACCATTGTTTGTTGTGTACCGCAAGCCATGTTGATCGCCTGTTTTTTTTAATCATCATTATATTTATCTATTTGTTTATGTATTTTTTAAACAAACTCTCCATCTGTCTGTGAAATGTTTTTGATATGAGCTGCATACAATAGCTGAATGTTAGCCACAGCTACCTGACTGCAAAGAGCTCTAGTTGCGGTGCAAGGCTGAAAATAAGGCTCCCTCTAATGCTGCTGTGAATTTCTAATTCTGGTGGGTTTGTTATTTGTATCTTAGACCAACTCCATGATTGGTCTAATAATAAACATGACATTATATTGAGGTATCTTTTGGAAGTGACCAGAATTTGATCAGTCTTACCTCAGGACTTCCAGGGCAAGTCCTGAGTCCAGGATGTCGGTTGGAAGTACTGGTCACAGCGATGAGATGCTTACTGCAAGATTTGTTGTCAGCATGTTGGCAGAGGGAGGTTTGGATGGCTCTAATAACAACATCCTTGGCTCCTAAATATGTCCTGAAGACCTGAGGACATCCACCTGCCTTCTCCACAGAACCAATAACATCGCTTCCTATGCTGCTTTTAACCAAATGAAACCCCTCAAATCCAGGTTTTACTTGGTTTTGGTCCCAGAGCATAATATTGCCTTCAGTTTAGCCTCTGGGCTTGACATTGAGCGGAAACAAGTGGATCCTCAGATGAAGGTTTACAGTAAATTTTCTTTTTTGACAGTTTTTGTGCATCTGCCTATAACCATGCAGTCTCCAGGAGCCTTCCAGCACCTTCTGGATTTTTCTAGTTTTTCTTCTTAAGCAGAGTTAGAGCTATATGAACATCAGGCAACAGGAGTAGATGGATTGGAATAATTAACTTTCTTAATTTAAAAAAAAGTCCTATAAATGTATCTGCTGTCTGGCCAAAAGAACTTTTCCATCTTCCAAGTTTTAGTTTTTAAATCTCTTGACATGGATGGATTTTATTAGAACTCCTTAACATAAACCAGTATGTAGAATGAATTCAAATTTGTTCTACTAAAGTTTCATTTCTGCATTTCTGCTTATAATGCAGATGTAGGTGTTATTCTTGTGACAACTGTAAAGAATATTAATCATTGAAAAATAAAAGAGTGGAATGGCCTGTATGCACAACTCCACGACCTCCTAAACTTAAATGAGCTTTTTTTCATTCATCATTCATTTGTTTCCTGTCTTTCATTACTGGATGAACTGATTATTCCAGATGCATCTGGCCATGGTTACTGAGGTCAGACACACCTTGATTAATTAGTTAATCCATGAAAAATTTGCTTTCATCTGAAAAAAGTACTTTGGACCACTGAGCAGCAGTCCAGTGCTGCTTCTCTGTAGCCCAGGTCAGGCGAATGTGGCACCTGTAGCCCATTTCCTGCACACGCCTGTGCACGGTGGCTCTGGATCTTTCTACTCCAGACTCAGTCCACTGCTTCTGCTGGTCCCCAAAGGTCTGGAATCTGCCCTCCTTCACAATCTTCCTCAGGGTTCGGTCATCCCTTCTCGTTTTGCAGCGTTTTCTACCACACTTTTTAATTCCCACAGACCTCCCACTGAGGTGCCTTGATGCAGCTCTCTGGGAACAGCCTATTCGTTCAGAAATATCTTTCTGTGTCATACCCTCTTGCTTGAGGGTGTCAATGATGGCCTTCTGGACAGCAGTCAGGTCGGCAGTCTTACCCATGATTTGGGTTTATAGATTAATTTGAGTGATTCCTGCTCAGCTGTCCAAAAGCAAATAAAAAATCTCATACCATAATCTTTTTTTTTCTGAATGAGGTATGCCTTTCATGCAACAATTTGAGCGCTGGGGGGAAAGTGGAACTAAACATCAGCGCACTTCTGTTTCTAGGGGACATTAAACGAAGGCGGAGGATTGAATGACTGCTGAAGATGGATGTTGAGGAGCCCACGAAGAAGAAACGTCGGAGGTGGAAGGCCGGAAAGATTGCATGTGGATGGTCGTTTGGTGCATGGCGCGTGTTTTGAAGCTGCTTATGGAGAAATGTCTTGGGCCGTGAGTAGTGAGGAAACAGGAAGCGATTCTTGTGGGATGGAAGAGGGAAATAGTGACAATGAAGGTTGGAAGATAGCAACATCAAAAAATGAGAAAAAGCGGAAAAAACAGAGATCAGTTCAAGGGGAATCTAGTTCAGAACAATCCAGTGATGATCATTCCATACATTCCACAGCACAACAAAATGAATTCAAAGTCATATTCAAAGTCGTTAATCAGGCAGACTCTTTTACAAATTGGAATCCGGTTCACTTAACAAAAACCATCAATAAACTTGTCGGAGAAGTCAGAGGTGCCAGAATTCTGTACAGTGGAGACCTGCTAATTATCTGCAGAGACAGCGCCCAGCAAGGCAAAGCAATACGGATCAACAAAATTGACGGGATAAGAGTTCAGTGCAGCTTAATGGAGAACAAAAAGTTCAGCAGGGGAGTCATTGGAGGAGTTCCTCTAAAAATTTCTGAAAAAGAGATTCTGGAAAACATAAGAGGTGCAAAAGTAAAAGAAGTAAAACGGTTAAAAACAACAAGAAACGGAGAAAGATCTGACAGTTTATCTGTGCTAATTAAATTCGAAGAAGAGCAATTACCAAGCAAAGTATTCATCGGTTACATAAGCTATAATGTCAAAATCTACAATCCTCCACCATTGAGATGTTTCAAATGCCAAAAATTCGGTCACATTGCAGCAGTTTGTAAAGGGAAACAGAGGTGTGGAAGGTGTGCAGGAGAACATGAGTACGGAAAATGTGGAAAAGAAGCTAAAATAAAATGCTGTAATTGTGGTGGAGAACATACTGCTGCCTATCGCGGCTGTGAAGCAAGCAAAAGGTCTGAGGAAATTAAAAAAATGAAATTTGAGCTCGGAATAACCTACGCTGAAGCTGCAAAAAGGATCCCATCTCAGTCAGAAAAACCCAAACCTACAGTTCAACACACAGCAAATTCCAAACCTCTAGAGAAATCTCTAAAAATTGATGAAGACTCACTTATTGTTAAAAAGACAAATTTTGTTCTTTTCATGGTAGAAGTTATTAATTGTACTGCACAGACAACAAAAAAAACGGAAAAAATCAAAATAATAGTGAAGGCTGCAGAAAAATATCTGGACATTAAAGATTTGAACTGGGAGATGGTTGGAAGTATGATGGGAGGACCGATGGGACCATCAGAAACTGGCAGAGTTAAGATGACCTAGAGTAAATTAAAATTATATGGGCAAATGTGATTTAGTATTATGTTGGTTTAAGTTACACAGGTTTTTTTTTTTTTTTTTTTTTTTTTTTTTTTGGGGGGGGTGAATCGTTTCCTGTTTTCTTGCTTTACTCCATATCAGTTGGTGGCGGTAATGCACAATTCACAAGTCTGCCAACCGCCATAAAATCCCATAAGAAGAAGAAGAATGACTGCTGAATACTTGTCCTTAGCCTGACATGAAGCATCACTGCGGTCATCTCAGATTCTAATTAAAACCTAACAGAGAGAATATTACAACATGTCTCTGGCGGCGGAGGCTTTCGTGTCGCAGATGGCAGGTAATGCGGTTAGTTAGTTCCTCATTAACGAACTGTTACCTCGAGCTAACTTTAGCCGGCTAGCTCCCCAAGGCTAACTGTAAGGTGTCCTCTAAATGCAAACACAGCGAGGAAATAAGTGGAAATCATAATGAAAATAAATATAGTGTGAACAATTGGTGAATAGACTGCTTCAGTTTGAAATCTGGAGCTTAAATAACAGCTGCCATTCAAAAAATAAAAATAATAATCAATTAAAAATTAACAAGTGTTAACGCCTTTAAAACAAGAGGTTGGTCTGTTTAATGATCTCCAACATTCAGGTAAACAAGGCATCAGCGGTGAGCCTATTAACAACCAGACAGTTTAATCCCAGGTTGAAAACAGGATGGATGTCAGGAAGAAAAATATAAAACAAGAGCTTTTTCTTTGCCTTTACAGGCACATAAAAAAACCCTGACTTCTATTTAATCAGCAATCGCTCATGTGTTTTTCCAGACTTTCAGCTTAGGATACAGTAAACATTTAATATTGTAGATCATTTTATTCTCACAGATAACAGACTTTAATATATGATCAGAAAAACTTTACCTGCAAAATTATTGAATTATCATTCTGCATGTAAAATATTCAAATAAAATCTAGTATTTGCTCTCTTATCAAGTTCATCTGTATTTTTAGCTTCACGTCAAACTTTAATGTTTCAGATGTTAAGACTCATTTTAGAATCAGAAAAAGGTAATCTGAGTGAATGCATTGATTACATTTTAAGGGGAAAGGAAGTTTAAATCAGGATTTATCCCACCATGACAGGGTTTTCACAATCACTGTGATGTGATACCTGAAGTTTATAGAGGGCTAAAATATATCATTAAGGACAAAAATGTGAATGAAATATATAAATGTATCATAATGACTCATTAAATAATTTATAATACAATTAAAACAATTAATAAATAATTGTTATGAATATAAATTTTCCATGCATAAAAAAGTATAGAAAAAGTAGAATATTTTTAGGGGGCTTCCAATCTATTGCATTATTTTTGGGGTTTCAGGCTGAAATGTTTGGGAACATGTTTGAACCAATCTTGTCCTATGTGAGAAGCAAATCTAACTTTTCACAGCTTCAGTTGCATCAAGCCGTTATTATAACTAGAAATCAATGTCTTATGTCTCTGTGAAGGAATTTTGATTAATCTTTTTTGTCACAATTTACGTAAATCCTTCTTATTAGACCTTTATGTTGTAGATCTTTGTAATTAGAAGTTGATCTGTTCTACCTCCTGTGTTTTTAACTCCAACAGCTGCAGAGCCGTGGCCTGAGAATGCCACCTTGTACCAACCTTTAAAGGGTAAGTTAGTAGGTTTGCAGAAAGGGAAAAAAAAAAGAAAGCAGTTCTCAGATGATTCTAAATGACGTATTTTCTCTGAAACAGATGACCAAATCCTACTCTCAGACCACGCCTCGTCTCTTGCCGTTCAGGTAAATTTGGATTTGGGGTTTTCTCCCCAGAACTTTTTAATAATAATTCCATCATACTGAATCCCACCTGTCCTCTAAGAGCTTGAATCACACTTAAGTTTAATCTCAATCAGAAAGTGGCAAACAGGGTTGCACCTATCAAATGATCAGCCTCGATCCTTATTCCTTATTTTGGGAGCTCACTGATTGGGTGATACTCCACTTCTATACCTCAAAATCGAGCATGCTTTCATAGAGTCATAGATGCTAGATAAATGCTAAATAAATAATGTCAGCAAAAGTAGCTTTCATTTAATGTGCTGATTATCCAGAAATCTAAAATAAAAAGTTTCAAAACATATGCAAACATCATTTTTAAATTACTACTGTATCCAGATATGGTATACTTCTCAGTACCACTATTTATGACAATTCTAGTATTGGCTCTATCTCTATATTTTCTAAGGTTTACAACCAGATTTTCGACAAATTCTAACCACATTTAAAAGTTAAAGCAGAAATATTCTGCCATGCTTTTACAAATACTTTTTCCAAATAAATTTTGTAGTTGTTACTTCGGCCTAGTTTTATTTTTTAATTTGTTTTTTAGTGCTTTATACACCTCTGTCCTGAATTGTTGGTTAATGCAAAAATGAGTATTTGTCAAAATCAGAATCGGCACCTCAGGCTTTTTTCAAGTCTGTTGATCAGTCAAAAACCAGGGTTCCTGCAGGTCCTTAAAAAGTCTTAAAAGGCATTGAATTCTTCAAAATAAAACTAAGGCCTTAATTGGTATTAAAATGTCTTAAATTAGTCTTTCGTAGGTCTTAATTTTTAAAACATAATAAATAGGATTATTTTTATTATGATTTATTTTTGTAATCTAAATAAAACATTAGAATTGACTTTTTTTTTTTTATTTAAAAAAATAATGGCTCGCTATTATTGGTTCCGTCCCAATAGCGGAACCAATAAAGCGTTGTTGCGGCCGGGACATTTGGGAGATGCGCCATTTACTTTTTGTCTGGAAAACATGAGCAAGTGTAAATGTAATGAAAATTGGCTCCAGCCAAGAGTTTTCTCCATGGCTAAAACCAGGGAACATACATGAGGCTCAGTGTATTTTGTGCAAGAAGTCATTCAAGCTCAGAATGATGGGAATTAAGGCAGTGGAGTCGCACATGCGAAGCACGAAACACAAAGCGTCAAAATGGAGTTACAGAGAAACAGCCGGTATTTCTCAGTTTAGTTCCACCCTTGTCTCTGCAACGCCTCCACTTATCACCAAATCAAACATACTAAGAAAACGATACACAGAAAAATAGCTGCAAAACAGACTTAGCACTGGTTATGTTGTGGCTTTAAAACTGATTTGTTTTGTTCCCTGCTAAAACAAAGTTTGTAAATTCAGTTAAATAATTGTTAAGTTATATCTGTCATTTGTTTGTTTTTAGCTTTCTTCCTGTTTGGAAACATTAGTGCAGTGGTTTATGTTATAATAAACCTTTGGGTTAAATTGTCGCAAGCTGGTTTTTCTTGTGTTTCTTGTGAATTTAGTCTTAAATTTTTATTTCAAGTGGCATTAAAAAGTCTTGAATTTAACTTGCCTTATGCTGTAAGAACCCTGAAAACACTTCAGTCCATGTGTCCGTAGTGGTAGATGATTTAGATATTTTATTTAGAAGGAAAATAGTGATTGAAGTTAGTCTTTTCTTTGGTAAATGGTAAATTCTTTAGGTCTATACCATCCAGTTGTTATGCTCCTTTAGCTTTATTTTGCTAAAATAATTCAACTCCACTTTCAACATTATGTCAGCAGAAACTTGTTGTAAGCCGGTTAAAGAAAATCAGCTTGTTTCAGTAGCGAACTGTTTCTCTGTCTCCCCCTGCAGGCCTACCTCAGGATGTGCGGTCTGCCGGTGCAGGTGGTCTGCAGACCAAACGCCGAATACATGTCGCCATCCGGTCAGTTGCAGGTTAAGCTAACCTTCTACACCAGCCACAGCATGCATTTCTGATGTTTGCTCTTTTCTCAGGAAAGATCCCCTTCATCCACGTGGGGAACCAGGTGGTATCGGAGCTGGGGCCCATTGTGCAGTTTACCAAAGCGAAGGTGGGAGGAACTCAGCTCCCAGTTATTTTACTGGTGGAAGGACATCGAGCCCCCCTGAGATGATGAAAACTGACATGTTTTCTCTCCAGGGTCACTCTTTGAGCGATGCGTTGGACGACGTCCAGCGCGCTGAGATGAAGGCGTACATGGAGCTGGTTTATAACATGCTGCTAAGTGCTGAGGTACAGAAACACCGACACGGTCAGAATCAGCCCACATGCAGACACTAACACAGCTTCTCCGTCTCTTCTTCACAGCTCTACATTCAGTGGTGCGACGACGCCACCGCGGCGGAGGTTGGTGTGTTCATGTCCTCAGATATCAAACAAGCAGCAGGCGTCTCTCTAAGACCGTCTCTACTTTATGCAGATCTCCCGGCCTCGATACAGCAGCCCGTACTCGTGGCCTCTGGGTAAAATTCTGGCTTATCAGAAGCAGTGGGAGGTGCGCAGGAAGATGAACGCCATCGGCTGGGGAGGAAAAACACTCGAACAGGTTGGTGTCGACCCAGCAACCTTAAGCTAACATCAGTCCCCTAAAAAAATTTAATTCGGATTGGAAGGTGAGCTCGTACACCGTCCAATCACCAGATTCACTTTGACTGGGCCGCTCTAAAGCATGAACTTGCCACTTTCTGATTATTTCAGTTGTTATGACTCCATATTTAGAGTCACTGTCCTGTTGGGGGGGGTTGAACATAAGCCTCTAACAGGCTCTCTCTAATCATTCTTAAGCTCCAGGGTTCCATTGGGCCTTAAAAATCCTTCAAAATGTTTGAATACATCTAAAAAATATGCAAAGGTTATACATTTTTCTTTAACTTCTAATCTGAATGAAAGTCATTGTGAACTTTCACTAACGTGAAAGGGTTAAAAAGGTATCAATACTCTTAATTAAAATCTGGATCAGGAGAGTTCCAGCTTTAATATTGAACGTGTTTGTTTCAGGTTTATGAAGATGTGAATCAGTGCTGCCAGGCTCTGTCTCAGAGGCTGGGAACTCAGCCGTACTTCTTCAACAAACAGTACGTATTCCATGGATTAGCTTCTTCTGCTTAAAGCTTCAATCATCAGATTACTGCCTGAAAAACACAGCAGTTGTCATTTGAGCACCATCTGGTGGATACATCTTGCCATTGCATCTTAGCCAATCCAGAAAAAAGCTTGTTCCAGCTGGTCTCTAAAACATACATTTATCAAAATCTGAGGAAACATTTATTTTCTTTTTTTTAAATTGATAAAACTGCTATTCTTAAATTAAATTCAGATGTATTACAAAAACAACAATAAAAACAAAACAAAAACCTAGTTAATATGAAAGGAGAACCAGGCAAAAAAAGATTCGTTTGAGATGTGTTCAAGGGACATAATGTCATCCATTAATTATCAAAGTGTTTCTGCTGAGAGGAGCACGTCACAGTGATGATGTCATGGCATTGTCTCAGCCTGTAGATAAAACATCTTCTGCCGCTCGTTTACTTGCTGCATTTTATGTCCGTCTCTGCTGAAGAGGAAGCATCCTCACTCCGCATGATACTGGATTTCTTTATTTTTGTGTTGCAGGGCTACCGAGTTGGACGCTCTGGTGTTCGGCCATCTTTTCACCATTCTCACCACCCGACTGACCAGCACTGAGCTGGCAGAGAGGGTGAAGAGCTACAACAACCTGCTGATGTTCTGCAGGCGCATCGAACAGACCTATTTTGAAGACAAAAAAGACTAAAAGACTAAAAAAAAAAAAAGCTGCTCTCTGTGTCATCTTGTACTTTCTGCATTTCCTTCTTTCATTCCCCACATTGTAGGACTGAAAAAGTATAAACTGATGTCTGTGCTGTTCGGTTCTCCTTTTTTTTTTTAGCTCCATGCTTTGTACATTTTTGCTCTTTTTTTGTTTGCGGTCAGCCACACACTTTGAAGAGCGGGTTTGGTTTTACAGCTGTGCAACATGAGCGACTTTCAGAGGGAAGAACTCCACTTGACCCCAGCTGCAGAAGGTCAAATGAGACGAGTTTGTTTTTCTTTCAAGGAGCGAATCACTCAGACCAGGAGCTGCTGTTGTATAAAATCCCAGGAACATATTGATGATGGAGATTTTTCCAGTTTATTTTTGCTTCTGTTGATTTGAAGTGCCTACATGAGACGTTCCACCCAGTGGTTTCATTTCCCCTCCAATAAAAAAAGCGCAGTTTGAACCTTGAAGCTTATTGATTTAATTACAGATTTAGTGCTGAAGTAAATAAACTGATGATTGATCAAACATTGAAAAACTAGTCAGCTAATTACGGTAGGTTGTTTCAATCGTTACTTAGATCAATGCTTCACTGGTTGTGAAACGGGTTCCTAAAGTGGGGGTGGGGAACCATGAGGGGTCGCCAGATGCTTTATGACAGACATTGTGATATTACCCCTGTATGTGGAGCCAAAATATATAATAAAATACATTGATGTAAATATCACATAAAATAATGTATCATGTAATAAATAGAGCTAACATTTATTCATTGAATATGTATTTAAATGAGTATATCATTAAAATGCAAAATTAAATAAAATTCCTAAAAATATAAATCATATTATGAAATGTCATTTATGAACATTGTTATTGGTAAATTGTCATTTGAAAACAAATACGGAAGTTTTAAATAAAACAGTGAAGTAATTCAATGTATTTTGAAGGGGGTCACATTGTTAACTTTGGGGCCAAAAAAACTATTGAAATATAAACAAAAATTACATTACTAAGTTTTTTAAATATATATTATATGTATATATATATATAATTATTATGTGTATCTGTATTTTTTTTTCAAACATGCCATTAATTTAGAATGTGCACATTTTTTTCTTTATTCCAAATGTTGAAAAATAATCTAAATCTAATAAAAAAAAAAAAAAATCAATAGATTAACCAAGTACTAAATGAATCAATGGTTGCAGCCCTACTCCTATGTTAGCAGCAGGGTGGGTCATTTGGGGGGGAGGATGTCTTCTGTAGAGGTCTGTCTTGCACCGGATCTGGAGAGGCCTCTGACTGAAGACAATTTGTTATTATTTAACAGTCTGATGAAGAAGATAATCACTGTTAACCATAATTCCGTAAAAATTCAAAACATATCCACTGGACTTGGTTTCCAAGATTTGAAGACATTTCGCCACCTCTCCAGGAAGCTTTCTCAATTCATGATGATGGCAAAACGTCTTCAAATCTTGGAAACCAAGTCCAGTGGATATTTTCTGAATTTTTACGGAATGACTATGACCTGGATGACTGAGAACCTTCATCAGCATGTTAACCACAATGTTCTTCACTTTATTAAGAATTCTTCTTTGAGAAATCACCTCTAGAGGAGTTCCTAGAACAAAGCTGGCCTTCTTTATTAGCTTGCTGAGCTTTTTTAAGCCATTTGCTCTGATGCTGTTACCCCAGCAGATGATGGAGGAAGAGATCCCACTCTCCATGACAGGATATATGAAGCATTTTACTGCAAACATCCAAGGACCTTAGCTTCCTTATGAAGTACACATGTATACAGTCAGCTCTGTCCCTTCTTGTAGTAGTTTCACAGTTTCGTCTCTAGTCTAATTTTCTGAAATCTACAATAATCTTGTTTTGTTGACATTCAGGATCAGATTATTGTTTCCACACCATGCCACAAAGGGATTCACTAGCTCTCTGCACTCAGTTTCTGGTCCATCTTTGATGCACCCAATGACTGCAGAGCCATCCCAGTATTCCTGCAGATAACAGGTCTTAGCCTGGTAATGGAAGGCAGAGGTGTGCAGAGTAACACTAACTTTTACCAATAACTTTAACTTAATTTAAAACATATTTATTTTTAATATATCTAAGAGATACTGCAATGGACTGGCGACCCGTCCAGGGTGTACCCCGCCTCTCGCCTGTAGACAGCTGGACATAGGCACAGCACCCCTCGTGACCCCACTTGGGATTAAGTGTGTAAAGAAAATAGATGGATGGATGGATCTATGAGATATTTAAAATCAGTGAGCCATGCAATCAATAGCACTGATTCAGCACAGCCTCAGATCCCTATAAATGCCACAGCTAACTAAACTTGCACTAATTTCTAGCCTATAGCAGATGTGAGATACCTTTGGTTTTATGCTGCCTTGCAGGAAGAAGGTTACAGGTTCAATTCCCAACCCGCTGGCTTTCTGCATGGAGTTTGCATGTTCTTCCTGTGCATGTTTGTGAATGGCTTCCTCCCACAGTCCAAAAACATTACTCAACTACAAGTAAAAGTTATCCGGTCAAACATCTACTCAAGTTGAAGTATTAATGTACTCACTTTTGAAAATACTTAAGTATTCAAAAACCCATGCATCTAAAAGTACATGGGTATTAAAAAATGCAAATAAAATTTTCTATCTGTAACTTTCAGTCTTATTTTCCAGTCTTCTTACAGAACCTTGTAACTTTCAGAAACCACTTGATTTATTGATGGATAGAACCACCCACTACAAATTCTACACTACATGTAAAGAACTTCAGCATAAAAATAAGATATTTTGATTAATTATTTATTATTTAAAAAGAAACCAAAAAGAAAACAGGAGATTCTTGATTCTCCTCACACTTTAACTATGGAATATACAGTAGGTTTAAGGTTGAATCTTAACCACAAAGAAAGAACAACTCTGCTTTGAGAACTCATCCTGCTGAACAACTTACAGTAGCCACATGACAATAAATTATGCCTTAATAAAATGTATAAGCTGCAAATAATACTTGCCCTGAGTGTCTCACGTTTGTGGAATGTCTTGCATAAGACATTGGTGTCCAAATTCAGTCCTAGGGGCTGCATTTTAAGAAAGTAAAACAGTAACAGTAGATGACAAAGTTACACTGAGCCAAAAGTAACAAATAACTAAAAAAACAGTACTAAAAAGTACAGTACTAAAAAACAGTATCTAAGTAGTTATCAAGTGAATGTACTTTATTACTTTCCCCCACTGTGTGAGTGTGCTTGTGTCTTGATGTCGCAGACTGGCAGCCTGACCAGGGTCCACTAACCTTTTGCCCATAGAGGATGGGTGGTGTTGGATCTAGAGTGGTAAAAATGGATTCCAAAACACAGAATTTAAGGCAGTGCAGAGTCTAAAAGTAATTTTTATAAGGATTGTATTCTTTTGTTTCCTGTGGGCAGCTAATGTTTACCTAACAGGACATGTGCGTGGATTCTTCCTGTGGTTGAATTGCAAATCATGCTGAATTAGGTCTTTTAGGCATAATGGCATGCCTAGAAATACTAATTTCAGGATGCATGGCTGGCTAACACTATTTTTGTCAGTGGGTGCAGACCATTTTGGAATCTACATGAAGCTTTAAGAATTGTATCGTTTTGATAAAGATCTTTAAAGCTAGAACAGAGCCCATCCTCTCCATCACTGATTGTCCACTATGGACATTATCAACAAGAACATAGGCTGTATATATAGTAAATTTCTGTTTTTTTATTGATTCTAATCCAGTTACCTCTGTGGTGTTCAGTCTGGAGTATTCTGACATAGTGTCTAGTTGATCAAAGCAGAAATACGTAATTTTGATGCTGGAGAAGTCAGCTAATATTATTCAGTATATCTTCATTTTCATGCCTGGTCTTTGAGTTTGAGAAACTCGGTGCTGGAAAGTTCTTTAAAGTTCCTGAATGTGGTGTGGTGTGGGAACCCTGTTTCTAGGCTTGAATAGACTCCTGCCTCCAGGGTCTCATACAAGCTCATTGGTAAGGGATGGGTCACCTCTGATCGACCCGGGGTCCACCAGGTTCACTGTCTGTTCTCGGCTGTCGTGCGGGTTTCCTGTGAGGTCGCGGTTTGACCCGTGAACTTCCAGGAGCCGTGACACGATGAGTGATGATCCAAGCTGAACCAAACGCTGCACAACTGGAGGTCAGCAGACGGGGAAACAAACAGACGCAGGAGGAGTTGACCTTCACAAGCATTTGGATTTTTCTTCAAGTAACAAATTAACAGGTGATTTGAATAAAATGTCATCAAATCAAGTTTTACTCAGAAACGGAAAACTTGGTCTCTTAATATCTATTCATATATTTTTTCCTTGGTAATATTGTTACGTTCTGTATAAAAAATGAAACTGGGACATTTTATGCAACAATTTTATGGTCAAATTTATACTTAAAACAATGTTTTTTTTCATGCTTAACAGGCAGGTTTTGAGGTATTTAAATAACAACTGAAGAACCAAACAATTTCAATGTAATCCTGTCACTTTAAACATAAAGGTATTCATTTTGTCTGTAGCAGTTAAGGAGGGTGGACTTCCTGTTATTTCCCAGAATGCTTAGTGGCGTGTTTTTATATCCTCTGACACCATTAGTGAGATGGAAATGTGTTACATCAATTGGCCTCTTGGACTTAACAAATTTTTATGTTCTACTGATCAACTTCAGAGCCAAAATTGATTCTTAATTACCAGACTGTTCTTACATTAGATTAGTTAATAAAAATAAGTTGTTCCTGTTAAAAAGGAGTTTTTCCTCTCTACTGTGGCTACAACCTTGCTTAGTTTGAGGGATTCCAGTCAATGCAATCAACTGGTTTTCCTTATATAGAAAACTTTGAATCTGACTGGATGATCTGATTAACTGTAAAGTGCCTTGAGATGATGTGTTGTGAATTGGCGCCATATAAATAAACTGAATTGAACTGAATTTGGTTGAAGTTATTAGATTAATATAAACAAATGCAAATATAAAATATTATAACTCTACAATGACATGTGTTGTGAATTAGTGCTATATGACTAAACTAAATTGAATTATAGCTAATTTCTGAACTATGTCGTTTAACTGCAACATTAACATGTCATATTCCATCAATCAAATACAGTTAATTGCCATAAAAATCATCCCTTATTAACATCCATTAAATTATGTTATACATTTTTAAGTCTACAATGCTGGATTTAGTGATCTTAATTATTTTCTCTTAAATATCATGTGAAAAGTAAAATACTCTGCATTTAATCAACTAAGTGTAGTGGAACCTGTTGACATAACTTTGTTCTCTCAATTCATGTTAATTTCTAGACATTTTCTTTTTAGAAACTCTCAGTTGAGTAACAATGATTTTGAACAACTAGTAGCTTCAGGCTAACTTCAGCTTATTAATGGTCTGCCTTGCATGTAGAGTTGTTATCTACCTACCTACC